TTTGATTTTTTTTAAATCAAGTATTTTTAATCTTCGATTTATTTTTAAATAAAATATATATTATATATTAATTAAATAAAGTATTTTTTTAAAAATATTTTATATAATAAATCTAATTTTTGTATCAATATTTAATATCATACGGAGTATTTATTTAATGCCAAATTAAAATATACCAATTTTAATGGAAAAAAAGTCAAAGATTACAAATATGAGTAGGAATTACTTCGTAGTCTGTGAGGAGTAGTACATTACAACGTACCAGTTTGGGAATGACGTTAGAAATTAGCATTAGCATTTTGAAAAGATTATCAACAAACAGCATTTATCGTTAACGTTTTCAAAGTAATCTGCATCGTTAAAATTTTATACTAATCTCACAAATTTCCAAACCGCCAACAAGTTGTTCTCCTCTCCTTCCCCCCGCCGATCGGACTAGAAAGACAACAAGACGCAATCCAGACGTAAGATAGAGGGAGGGTTGAACGAACTCGTCCCCAACAAACAAGTCAATTAAATGTGTTTCACAACCTCGTATACGCATAATTCTGGTCGGACAAGATTTTCTACCTAAATCGCTGCCCCAGTGGGCCGTCTCTTGCCGCATTTATCACGTTCCCGAATTGAAAAGAATACTCAGAGCGAGTCAGAACCAAAGAAGGGGAGTAAGCGGTGTCAGAGATGGCTCTCCTCCGGCATTGCCCATTCCCATTCTCTGCACTTTCTGCAGTTGGGCCGTCTCAGAGCGGAACGAATCTCCTCTCCGTCAAGACGAATTTCAGATATGATCAAAACCCAAATTTACTACAGTCCCAGATTAGGAGGTGCTCTGCTGTTCTTTCTCCCCCGCTCAATTCTCCCAAGAATCCTCCATCCCTGTCTACTTTTAGTCAGGTAAAGATTTGATTTTTATTTTTTGAAAAAAATTTGGGATTTTGATTCTTTTTCCCCCCACTCTTGGATTATGTGATTTACATTATTAGAGGGTGAATTTGTGCTTTGTTTTCTTTTCTTTTTTTTGGGTTTTGGATTTTGTGTGTTAGTTGATTGAGGATTTAATAAGTGGGAAGGACTTGACTGAATCTGAAGCTGAAGAATCTCTTGAGTTCCTGTTGGGTGGTGCAGATGAGACACTGATTAGTGCCTTTCTGGTTCTCTTGAGGGCTAAAGGAGAAACCTATGAAGAAGTGAGTAGTATTTCTACCCTCTCTGTCTTTCAATAACTATGAACTGTCACTTTAGAATGTGAAGGCAACATTAATTGCTCATTTTCCACTATTACCCCTTTTCCACCCATGAATGCTACTCAAAAACTTAAACATTAATGCATCTAACAAGTATATTCAGGTCATGTCATTTATTGTTGTCATAAAGAATGAATTGATGGGTGCAAATGTCACACACAATACTAGTACTTTGATGATGATTGAATCAATGAATTGGCTGTGTGTTAGGTAGTTGGGATGGCAAGAGCTATGATTAAACAATGCAGAAGAGTTGAAGGATTAGAAGGTGCAGTTGACATTGTCGGCACCGGAGGCGATGGTGCAAACACTGTTAACATCTCAACTGGTGCTTCCATTCTTGCTGCTGCCTGTGGTGCCAAAGTTGCAAAGGTTTGATTAATCACTTTCCCTTTTAATAGCTTTAAGTCCCCGTTTAGTCAGATAATAGCTCCAATTCAACGACAAAAACACACAGAGATAATTGCTCAAATTTTGTGTGATATTGATGAAGTTGTTGACTCATGAAATAGACTGCTGATAAAATAGAGAAAAATATATACACAACAAACAAAAAAGGATGCCAAAAGTAATCATCTTTAACAACTTCAGCAGAAAAAAGTGTATCCGGTCCAACATTTTTTTGTTTGCGATAAATCAATTAAGTGCTCACAACCAAATGATTTGGTGTTTCTTTAGAAAAGAGTGGTTGATAAGGTTGATGCGCTGGAAAAAATGGCTCCCTAATGTTCACGATATGATTATTTTCCTTGCTGTGATTTCTATTATAGTTCTGCAATGGTAAATCGGGCTTAATGGTATTTTGATATCTTTGCAGCAAGGAAATAGGTCCAGTTCATCTGCCTGTGGAAGTGCTGATGTACTGGAAGCACTAGGCGTTGCTATCGAGCTAGACCCCAAGGTTCGCGTTCATAATGACTAATACCATATCCGTAATTCTTTATGCATTTCATTTGTGATCTTTATTCTAAAACTGAGTATTGTATAAAGGGATGATGAGATTCAAAACTTTTTCTTGTTAGGATGGAAATGACAGAAAAAGCCCATGCCTCCACAATATTAGATAAAATTAGTTGGACAAATGTGGTGTGTCTTTTTTGGACACTAGTTATTTATTACTAACTTCCTACCTGCCCCTAACATATATCATTCCATTGTGGTGTATTTGTGCTCTCAAATACTGTCTCCTTGGGAGAAAAACCAAAGGGAAGTTGTGTTTGATACTCAGTATTTTCCTCCCTCAATCCCACTATTTGTTCGGACATGAGGCAGCCACACGAAGATTAAGAAAAAGTAAGATAAAATAAAAATAAATGTGAACCACATGACTATGACCAAATATGATATGAGACAAAAAAAAGTGGGATGGATGAATAAGGTAAAAAGGAATATGGACATATGTGTGTGATAAATTTCAAGCGTTACATTTTCTTTTAAGAAAAAATTTTAAGGCTCAAAATAAGACTCGTTTGCATCATTTTCTTAGCTTTTTTTTCTTCATAATTTAACAGTCATGATACAGACTTTTTGCTACATTAAAATTTTAAATATTGCAAAAATTGAGTTAAAAATGTTCTTGGTCTTGTCTAACACATAAAATGGGACAGAGGGAGTATTATATTTGTTATGCTTGGGTACTTATGCAGTGAAGTAGAATATTTATTTATTTTCCTATGAATGATGGTTGGAAACAGGGGGTGAAGAAGTGTGTAAATGAGGCAGGAATTGGTTTTATGATGTCACCCATCTACCACCCTGCAATGAAGATTGTTAGTCCTGTCAGGAAAAAACTAAAAGTGAAGACCATATTTAATATCCTGGGCCCTTTGTTAAATCCAGCCAGAGTTCCTTTTGCTGTCATTGGTGTCAACAAACAAGACCTTGTAAGTTCCTCATCTTCTTCTTTTTTCTCTCGTTTTCCATTGGGTTATGTTACAGTCGCGTCACACCACAGATTACACCAAGTTTGACACTGTCAGACAACCAAGATTGACAACAACTGACTTGATTGTCTCTCGTTGTGTCAAAATATATTGAAATAAATGTAGCAATATACCTACACATTCGAAATGTCTTGCACGTTATGTATATGAGAACCAAATTTCATTAAATTAGGTCCACAAAATGGCAAAGGCGGTACAGCGGTTCGGTATGAAAAGAGCATTGGTTGTTCACTCAGAAGGCCTAGATGAGATGAGTCCGCTCGGTAAGTCTTTTCTTTCAATAAAAAAAAAACAGAACATTTACACCACTTTGTACTATGTAGCATCATTCTTTGCTTGATTTTCGGATATGTTGGTAAAGTTCTTAGTTCACCATTTGTTTTTTCTTCATGTAATATATGGAAACAGGTCCGGGCTTAATCCTAGATGTTACCCCTTCTAAGATTGAGCAATTCCCGTTCGATCCATGTAAGTTTCCCACCATTCGGAACACTCATTTTGTTTACAACAATAAACGGAACCTACAAACATGACTTGTTTTACGTTATGCTCATTGATCATACTGGAAAAAAACTAATGTGATCACATCGGACAGTGGACTTTGGCATTCCTCGCTGCACTCTTGAGAGCTTGACAGGTGGACCCCCGGACTACAATGCTGCGACACTAAGGCGAGTCCTACGTGGCGGCGAAAGTGGTCCCATTGGGGACGCGTTGGTAAGTCCCTCCTGGACTTATGCTTGTGTTTGTTAAATGACAGATTGCCAAATGATAAATAATCCCATTTTATTTATTAAATAAATTAAAAAAAAAATATTTTTGGGCAGGCACTAAATGCAGCAGGAGCTCTGTTTGTGAGTGGAGTTGTGGGCAGTTTGGGTGAAGGAGTGAGTCTTGCCAGGGAAACACTACTTTCTGGGAAAGCTGTGGATGCCCTTCAGCTTTGGATTCAAGTTTCAAATGTAATAATTCACAAATGTGCACTTTTCTAATCAAAATTTAATGAATGAAGACTTACTAGTTAAAGCGACTCATTTCCTCTTCCGTTTTGCTTCCCTGGTTTTCAGAATGCCAGAGAATCGTCACTTCTCGTGAGTCGAAGCACGGGGTCGACCAGTGCTATGTGAATGGGGAACGATATGGCTTGTGTTTTTATTTTACCCTTACAACACTTGAGAGAATAAAAGCAGTGGTGTTACTTTTACTAGGCTTAGTAACTTTGAAGCCTTTTTGTTGTAGTAGTACGAATTATAGAGAAACTGTAATTCTAGAGAAAACATCATCATAACATTTATACTACTCCGTATTATTTACAGTATTTTGGCTTACACCCCATTGTTTTTACACTTTACATACTAAGTTCTTCTATGAAATGAGAAAAAATGAATGATGTAAATTTGGTTACATATTTTCGGTATGCAAATGGTTTCATTATGTTTGTGTAAAACATAAATAAGATTCAAATGTGACCATTTTAGAACTCTCCAGATAAGAATATTTTGATATCTCCTTCCCTGTGGGTCACCCGTTGTCTTTGGCCACATGTTGCCGATGGTCATCACCTGTCATCGTGATTTCTGTCACTAATAAACATTACTATGTGTTTCAAATCTCTTCAAGCAATTTTATAGTGGATATTAGCATTCCAGGAAAGATCTTTTTACTCGAGCCAGTTTTGACTTTAAATGACCTTGATACTTTAGAACACCTACGACACTTTGTTTGTAAAATTACGACCGAAACACTGTAAAGACCTCATGTCATAATATGTCCTTAATTTTCAAATTCAAAACAACCATTTTGTACATCTCATATCATTTCCATTCACAAAGCATAAAAGCTCATGCACAACACAAATAGCAAGTGGAAGTCAAACTATGGCAAGAAACAGTAAGAAGCTGCTTACAATTCCAATTTAGTCCCTCCCTAGTCAGTTCCTACACACCATCAAGCCTTGTTAACGTGACACGTGGAGGTGTTTTTGACCCTCCATACCTTCCTGATGAAATTCCACTACGCCGTCGGATGTGGATCGATGCGCGGAAAGGGCCTTGACAATCCATGAACCGCAACCCGGCCGTTAAGCACCGCATCAAGCCTCCGGATCTTCACGAAATTGATCATCAACGGCTTTAAAACGCCGCCGTCGCCGGCATCGGTCACCACCAGTCTCCGCTCGCGTTCCAGGGTCGGCAGTACAGTCCCCTGAGGCAGGGTGATCAGGTCGGAGGCCGTCAGAAGCCTGTTCGGCACAATGTGGAACCCTAGATCGGCGATGTAGGACCGCCCCGCGCCGCCGGCGAAGATGGAATCGTCGTCCACGGCGAAAATCGTCATGTTCTTGAGCTCGGAGAGCTCCGGGTACCTGACCCGCATGCCCAGAGCAACTATGCTGTACCCGGTTGTGCGGAGCCGCATCATGGCTTCTTTCAGGACCAGGCGGTTCGCAAAGATCGCCCCCGCCGCCGGCTGGGGCAAGAATGCCAGAGTGCTCTGCCGCTCGATGTCGCAAGACAGGGGAGACAGGTGAGAGACGAGCCCCCGGAGGCCGTGAACGATGACGCGGCCGTCGTTGAAGAGATCCGGCTCGGAAATTTCAGCCCCGTTGATGAAGACTTTCTTGGTGGGAAGTGCGGTGGAGATTCCGGCGGTGGACGTGACCGTGAGGCAGCGGTTCGGGGCCAGAGTAGAAATCTTGGTTCCGAATGCCCAATTCCGCAATTGGCGGAATGTGTAGAGGCCCGGCGAGGAATGTTCTAGAAGAAGCAGGGGAAGGGAGCAGAGGGGACAGGTGAGGAAGGAGGAATCTTTGGGGGCGAAAACGGTGATTGAGGCGGCGGCGGCGTCCATGGAGGAGAGGTTGGCCGCGGCGGTGACTGCGGCAAGTTCTTGGAATCCGAGCTTGGAGAAGATGTCTGCGAGAGGAAGCGTTGACGGCGAGGATGGTGGAGCGAGTGGTGCCGCCGTCGTCATCGTCTCTGTGCCGGCGGATGTGACGACAAGTTCAAGACGGAAAAGCAAGACGAAGAAAATCAATCTCACGGCAGACGCCATTTCTGGTTCCGTCTCTACCAGATCGCGTAATTAAAAACGGCATATGCAAGCAAATGTTTGTTTCTTTTGAGCTTTATCAAATCGATGTAGTACTGTAGTAGGAGAGACTAGTCAAGGCGATAGGCGATTTTAAATTTTAATGGTTTTATCATCCTTGGTCCGTATATATAAAAAAAATTCTAACTTACTTCTTCCCCGATCAGATTTGAGAGGACTGGGGACTCATAAAAAAAGTTGAATCCCCAAGGGCAAATTATATGATACATCTAGGGCATCTACACTATGTTTGGTTCAAAGATTTTGGAAGGAAAAGAAAAGAAAATGATTTTCTCTCATTTTCCTCACCAAAATGGAAGGAATTTGATTTTTCCTTTACTTGGTACATTTTGCCTCCTCATTTTCTTTTCCTTTCACTTTTCCTTTCTTTTCCCCTCTAACCAAACAAGAAAAATGGTTTTCCACTCCATTTTCTTTTCTTTTCCTTTTCAAATTCCTTGAACCAAACATAGTGCTAGTTGTCCCTTTCTTAAGGTACAATCTGGTATTTTTGTAAATTTTGTAAACTTTTTATCCAATGCCCAAAATATATCCGAGTATATGAGAACTATTATATATGACAATGAGTACCAGCAGATTTGAGAAGGAGTACCAGCACTTGTGAGAATTATCATATTCTTATTCAATACAAACATGAATAAACCTGTGTTTTAAATTCTCCATACTCAGAGAATATAAATGAGTAGGAACGAATCGAAAAAACGAAGAAGTTGATGATGATACTAAACTTTTTAATTGTGAAAAAATTGAACAATACTTTATTTCAGAATGAACATTTCCTTATTTGAGAATGAGTATTGTGTTTTTAAAAATGAACACTACGCTATTTATTATAATTATATTATACAAATGTGTAAAAATGAGTACTTCTTTATTTTAAAATGAGTACTACCTTTGCCAGAATGAGTACTACGTATTTCGAAATGAATGTTTATATATGTACGAGAATGAGTACTACTTTATTTCAGAATGAGTACTACCGGGATGTACCTATTTTTAGGTACATCCGGATGTACCTACTTCTAGGTACATCCGGATGTACTATATACCAACTCAACCTAAAGACTCCCACCAACTCCAAGCCCTTGCTAGGCGGAATATTTGATGTCTTGGTGGGATGTGAAATTCAGCAGCCCATTAAATGAAGAGTTCTCTCTCACATGCTGCAAGAAAAGCCCATCATGTAGCCCACAAATTGGACCACATGAATGTTGCTCCCACTGTGATAATCGAACCTTGCGTCTTGAAGGGGATCTTGATAATGTGCCACATAGGCACCTCATAACGGATTAAGAGAAAAATATATATTATGAATCTTAAAAGTGGAACATGAGAAAAAAATGATTGGGTGAAACATAACGACAACAACAATCTAGTAAGATCTCATGCAAGTAGGGTATGTGTACACAAATCTTGGCCCTACTTGAAAGTAAGAAGATTGATTCCAAAAGACATCCAGTTCAGCCGTCAAAGGGGATACTAAAAGCAGACAAATAAAACACCATAACAACACCGAGCACTTAGAGTCTAAAAGCAAATGAAAGTTAGTGAAAGAAAAGTACTACAAGTAAATAGCACCTATCATGCAAGACATTCGTTGAAAATTTAGATTATTTTAATTTATTGAGATGAATGTGTCTTGCCAATCTAATCACCCCCTCTCCAAACTAACCCTTTAATTTTTCATTATGGATAGAATTTGAAGTTTTTGATTCATTTTGGATTTGGTTTTAGATATTTTGGTTTGCTTAATAAGTTTTGGATCTGTTTTGCCAGGTCTAGGTACTCATTGTTCAAGAATAATGTTTTTGATTGATGATAGTGTTTAAATAAAATTTTAATGATCTAAACTAATTTAAAAAATACTAGAACAAATGATATCATTAGAAACTTTTTTAAAATGTTACGACAATGTGTTATGGGGTGTGAGGAGGTGCTTCACCACCCTCCGCCACACCGCTCTTCCTTAACACCCTAGGCGTGACCAGGTTTGCCCCAGAAGGCTTGACTACTATTACTCTGTGATGGCATCTTACATCCCCGTTTTTTTCTTTTTTTTTTGTTATTTTAAATTTCAATCAATTGAAATTTAACAAACGTTCACACCTCATTTTATACTGATCATAAGACACATTTTTCATCAATCTACATCATACATTTTTACTCCCAGTCAAAAGATCGTTGTAATTAGCATGCACTAATGGAAAATATAAAGAACACTAGGGTTATCCCTCATGGTGCACACTATTTACATAACAAAGTGTCCATCCATATACAGAGACTGAGTATACAGAGCCTTCCTACTTCCGAGTAAGGGCAAGGTCTGCGTACACACACTTTCTCCAGATCCTACTGTAGTGGGATCCAACTGAATTGTTGTTGTTGTTGTTGAGTATCTCTGGATGTTTGTGAATAGTACATCACCTGTGATACTCTAGCATTATCCAAATATAAAATCAAACGGGCCATAAAGCTTAAAAACCCTTAAATCTAACGGGCCATTGTGTTGGGCTATTTCCGATGCATTTCGTTAAGCGCGAATAAGTCTTTGAAGTAGCCCATAAAGTTCCTTCACATTCCCGCTGCTCAAAACCCTAATCTCAGAGCGCAGACGACCGAGAAAGCGGCAAGCGGGCGGAAGAATAGAGACGACGCCGGGGGAGACGCAGTAATTTTATTCACCTTCTCTATTATTGATCTTTATATGTATATTCACGCATACGAGATTTGAATCTGGAGATTTTATTTGCAGAAAATGGCGGAAAAGGCTGTGACCATCAGGACGAGGAAGTTCATGACCAATCGCCTTCTCTCGAGGAAACAATTTGTGAGCTATCTAGAAATGGATGCTTATGTTATATCATTTTCCCGTTTATTTTTCGCGTTAGGTATCCAATGTTTTCTCTTTTGCTGATGGGCTCTTTTATTGTTTAGGTCATTGATGTTCTTCATCCGGGAAGAGCAAATGTTTCAAAGGTTAGGGGATATTAAAATGTGTTTATTTTGCCGTAAAAAGTGTTTATTTCTATTAATGATAGTTTTAAAAGTAGATTAGGAGCTTACAGTCCAGCAAATGCTTTACAAGGCTATAAGTCACTTGATACATGTAGTATTTATCAATTTTACGAATTTGATGACATTGTTAGTTGATTCTTTGATGTTGATTGCTTCATAACCCATTTCATGAACGCAACAGTTTTTTGTTTTTGTTTTTGGGTTGTTTTGTCCTTTTGAATTGTTGGGATGTATGGAGTTGAAGCTTACTAATATATGTATAATCTTCCATGTAATGAAAGGCCGAGTTGAAGGAGAAATTGGCAAGAATGTATGAAGTGAAGGATCCCAACTCTATATTTGTCTTCAAGTTCCGCACTCATTTTGGAGGTGGCAAATCCACTGGATTCGGCTTGATCTACGACTCAGTTGACAGTGCAAAGAAATATGAGCCAAAATATAGACTCATTAGGGTATGTGTCTGTGTTTTTTTTGGCATCATTTTGTTCATCAAGGATGAATTGTGAGTGCAGTAGTGCACAAGAACTAACAACATACTCTTCTTGCATAAATATGTAGTGTCCTGAAAGTCTTAGCAAAATTACTTAGTTTGGATTGAATTTTTACATGCTCAGTCATTCTAAGATCACCTAAATGGTATGTTTGGGAACATCCATGTTTGGGAAACTTAAAAATGTTGGATTTGAATTTGAGTTAAATTCTTCTCATTCATTACAAAGCTTAATTTGAAATCTGTGCACCTCCCCTTGTCATTTTAAATTCAAGATTTCAAATTTTGGAATTGTAATGCATGAATTGAAATAAAATGCTAGTTCTCAAACACTATCTAATGGTATTTGCTTTTGTGATTAATGTTCACTCTTTGACTATCATATCATGGCTTCGAATTAACATTTTAATCATGAAAAATGCCCCAAAGTGTCCCTAACCTCGTCTCTTCACAAAAGCACACACATCAAGAACGGGCTCACCAATTAATGCAAATCATGGTCAAGTTTTTTAAAGTTTGATGAAGGAAAACCCACTATTATGGAACAGATGGAGTACCAACATTAGGTCCCTATATTTTGAATATTTCAAAAGCTTGTGTTTCCAATCGCATTCATATCAGCGAATTTCATGACTTGTGCTATTGAGTACAATGGTTAGCCAGCCAACTAGCTGAGTTTTTCGTTGTTTTTTTGGCAGAATGGACTGGCTACTAAGGTGGAGAAGTCCAGGAAGCAGATGAAAGAGCGCAAGAACAGAGCTAAAAAGGTCCGCGGTGTTAAGAAGGTATGGAGTTTTAGTTTAGTTTGAAATTGATTATATATTCCCGTATCAGTAGTTCCTTAAGAAATTTCTTGGTACTATATGCTGACCTAAACTTCTCTTGGTGGCAGTTAAGCTTTGTATGCATTTTATCCTCTTGCAACCCTTCTTCTGTTTCACATTTACTGGGTTTAATTTGGTTTAATTTATTCTGAGCTAACACATCCTCTCATATTTTTCTTAATTTTTTGTAGACAAAGGCTGGAGATGCTGCAAAGAAGTAGTTTCCTTGTCTATTTAATTTTTCTGTTAGTTTTTTTTTTATTTCGGAACTCGAGTGAGATGGGTTTTGTTTTAAGATATTTCATTTATGGACAAAGTTGTAAACTAAGATTGATTTGGTTTTAAACCATTTTCAAATTTCTGATCTATTCTGATTTCGGTTCCCTTCTCGCATCCTAAGATCTATTAATTGCTAGACCATTAATTAGGATTATGAGTAAGTTTATTTCTCTGCTGCAAGCCTGCAATATGGCCTTAGGCATTCTGTTTTTCTGGGCCATCTAGGAATCATCAAAGGTTGTTTTCATATGGTCTATTTTGGGAAAAAGATTCCTAAAAACTTTGTTTACAGAAGAAATGAACGCAGGGCTTTGGCGTTTTACTCCATCTGTATAAAGATTCTAGTCAAAGGTCGTGCATGCTAGGCAGAGAGAGGTAATATAATTGCAAGGAAATTGTCATCATTTTGTACATCCATTTTTACATAAAATTTGGGCATCGCAATGATATCATGTGCTACGTGGAACACATAAAAGTTTTGTCTTACGTGACTGAGTGGTCATCCAAACTTGGGTCAATGCTCAAAAGTAGGGTATATAAATTGTCTACAAATAGAAGCAGCTATATGGAGCATATTAGTGAAATTAAGACACATAATTTAGACACCATCACCACGGTTACGTTCCCATGACATTGGAAATCAATGTCATAGGATGACCCGAATATTTTATTAGAAAAATTGATGGTTTCTACCAATCCTAACTTCCCTGTAAACCCTCCCTCCCAACTCGGCCCGAACCCACCCACTCTAACTCCATTGGAAAAATTGACGGTTTCTATGACATTGTGCAATGGAGGTATTTTGGTCTCTTTTTTGTACAACCTATATATTCCTATACAAGCTTTATTTTGTGAACCATTTCTTTTTTAATGGAGAAATTAAAGAAATAAACTTATGAAAACACTTATGGACAAACGTAAAGCTTACATTAATATAAATATTGTGATTCATGCAATTGATTAACTTTAAATGAAACAACACAACGTGCTTGAGCTCCCAAAGTATATGCATGTCCTAACTTTGGGTGGAAATAATGTTTGTATGATTTATTTGTGTGATTAATAAGTTGCTTTTCTTCTCAAAATTAAAGTTTTCGTACCATAAAAATATGTAATTTCATATTGCGCACTCGTGTTTTACAGTGTTCTTTTGATATTATTTGGTACTTCGTATTTTTTTAGAGTTGTTTTGATATAAGAATATCGAATATCATTTTTAAAAAAATAGAACATGGTTTATTCTTAATTTGATAGCAAACGTACACTAGCTTCTTTCATTAATCACATGAAACTTGCTCCTGCATTCGCCAGCCAAACTTGTCTGCCCCTTCTTTCATTATTATTTCGATAGTATCAGACAAATATTACCAGTCCCTCCATGCCATCTCGATACAATCATTATTTGTAAAGATTAAAAAAAAGAAACTATAAAAATTAAATTTCAAAAAAGGACATATTACCACTCCCTCCATGCCAACTTGTTAATTATTTACTTTTCAACCATGCTAGATGAGCACCAAAGTGTCTATCAATAATTTGATGGTTCACACTAACACAAAATGCTAGTGCGATCGATGAATTTTGATTAGTATTTTGTGCTAGTGTAAACCATCGAAGTATGCATGTGGTGTACAACTTGGATACATTCTTAGTATACAAGTAGCTTTATCATAAATCAATTTTTTGTCTCTAGGTACACATATTTTTGATTAGTTTAATTGTAAATGTCTCCTTTAAATTAATACATCGTGAAAAAACACGAGGGCTTGTGTCTAAAAAAAAAGGATAAAAGTATAATTAATAGGGAGTAGAAGGTAGGAGTAGAGATAATAATGAATGGTACGTGGGGTTGATTTCAACAAACACAAAATCGTACGTAGGGTTTTGGTGGGCTGGCCAGCTGATGCATACTCACTTTTCACATATTCCTTTGCTTCCGAATTAATTATATCACTTTTCTTTAAACTCGTATCAAAATTCAGAGCAATTGTCTTCCTTCTTATTTTCCTAATAAAGTAAAAACAACGTCATCCTAATCTACAATATTTCTGTTTCTTCTAATCAAATTTCAACAACTCGTTTTTTTACTTTTCGACACTTTTTATAAGTTTCATGAAATCGACCCGAGACAATTAACTAGGGACGGAATGAGTCGAAAAGTATAAAATTTCACATTTGAAACGCTTAGGGTAGTAACATATAAAAAAGAATCAAATCTGAATTTTGTCTATATTTCATTAAAAATAAAGTTTGATATCCCAAAAAAAATCAAAACGCAAATATCTTGTGACCCTGAAATTCTCATTTAACTAACGGGGTAACGGCCGACTTCAAGACTGACCCGCTTCTTAAAAATGGTAGCTGAGTGCCCAACCACTTTAGTTAATTTTTGTCCGGGTTCCCCCCATAGCTCTCTTATTCTTACTTAATTACTTCATTCATTCATTCATTTAGTTCATATGTTCAATCTCATGTCCTCTCAAATCACTAGTAAGTACCACAATGTGTACTTTCATTTTACAAATGTTCCTCCCTTTGGTTAATAAAAGATGTACAAAATAGTGACACCGTTTTGACTCAACCATTAAACAAACATGTATAAACACCAAAAGTTTTTGCACGCACGAACATTTATTGTCTTGGTGTGTCAATGTAATGTTTGATGTCAAAACAATGTCGCCTTAATACAACTGTTATAATATTAGATAGATTCTTCAATAAACCGTCTCGTGTCAAGTATACATTTATATACCCGAGTTATTTGATAGCTCATTATAAGCTCTAAACACGATTTCTAAAAAGTTCAGATTAAGATTATATAGTAATTTAGTGCTCACTATTCAATTTTGTGAAAAGAAGAATATGAATAAAATGACGGAGAAGAGCATTAAATGTAAGGGATGACGCAAAAAAAAAAAATCATTTATACCCCGGAGTATTAAATACAACCCATATTTGATGATTAATTAACAATGACAAAAAAACAAATAGAATTATCACTAATCGTTACCGGCGGACAGAGGAGGATTCGGGTCTCCGGCGGCATTCAGGCGGCGATGGCATGAGGCTGACGAGAAGGTCGGCAAACGCGCCGACGATGAATTTGTGGGCGCTTTTGGGGTTGAGAGTTAAATAGCACATGAGGAGCTCGTGCAGGCGGTCCCAGTTAGCTCTGACGTCCGTCAGCTGCCGCGCCTCCACCATCTCCTGCATCGATCGCCGGAAGTCCAAGAACGGGTCCGGGGAAATCGTGGGCACGGCGACGCTCCCGCTGCCGAAGGCGGCGTCGGGCTCCGTCGGGGACGAGAACGAGGTCGAGGCTCTGGAGGAGGACGCGGAGGAGGAGTCGACGATGGAGTTCGACCGGCCGGGCGAGGAGAAGAAGAAGCGGCGGGAGGCCTGGACGGCGGCCAGGTCGGGGGCGGAGAGGAATCCCGGCTCGCCGCCGTCGTACGCTGCCGCGGCGGCGAGGGAATCGGGGTAGGGCGGCGCGGGTTCCGAGGCGGCATCGTAGAGGGAGTTGAAGTTCTTGATGAAAAATGGACGGCCGGGATCTGGGGTTTCGCGTTTGGGGGACGGGGACTGGGACTTTGACTTGGGGAAACAGAGATAGAGGTTTCTTCCTAAAATGGTGTTTGGCATTATGTGTGTTTTCTTCTGCAATTACTAATTGGCTTTTTACTGTATTTTATTTATGAGGGGAACAGAAAGAAAGGGGGGGGATAGGAAAGAAGTGAGAGTGTGTTTGGTTAAAGACTCAAAGGGATTTTCAGTTTTAGTTAGAGATTTGCAGGAAGGTTTGTTTGGAGAAGGGAAGAGAGAACACACTTTAGTTAGTTCCCCACTTCACTTTTTAAAGGCCGCGAGCAGAGCCAAAATTGATAGGTTCTATGCATTTAATCTTTTGATAAATCCTCAAATCGACCCGACCCAAACTCATCCTCACCCCCACACCCAAGTTTATTTAATTTTGGAGCTGAAATTTTGACTCCAAAATTAAATAAATTTGGGAGATGCAATCGACAAGAGTGTGGATGGGTTCGTTAGGGGTTAAAGGAACGTAGGAACTGTCAATTTTACAAATAGAGTGTTGTATGACTCTCGGGTCATGGACTGATATTAGGAAGGGACGTCAACAGAATCGGGGTGATTTATTCCAATTCTAATTTTTAATTTGTAATATTTTATTTCTTTTTTTAATCCAATTTTATTTTTAGAAATGAAAAAAACAGATCCTTGTTCCATGGGTTTTTTACCTCTCTCCATTTTGCCCTGGGTTTTTTACTTCTTTTGGTAGCGCACTTGGTTGTTACTCTACTCGTTAGGAGTACTTGTTAGTTACTAAAGTCAATCCTAAAGTCTTTATTTTCCTTTTACAATACAATAAAATAAAATTAACTTTAAAGGTGGTGTTGATTTTCTATTAATAAATTGAGGTAAATAATGTATGGCATCAAATTCCCGAAAGAAAATTAAAACAACTCAATTACAATGTTTATCTTTGAAACATATTCGAAATCGAACAAATTTTAAATCTAAATCGGTACCGATCCGATTATTGTGTTTAAGAGAACCACAAAAAATCTACTCCATAACATATTTGATGAATGATGAAGAATACACTATGGATCCGGACTTGATCCATGGCTCAAAGAATAAGGTTGGGCCTTGTTCACATTGGCCTTTTATGCAATGAGTTATTTACTCCCGGGTATAATTTAGACCCTGGCCCTGAGTGTAATCTCGAGTATGGACATCTAAATTAATTCTAATATACATTGTGAATGGTAATATTTGATTTAAGTTATTTTATATATTAATATTTATTTTATATTTTATATTATTTTCTAGAGTTGGCTAATCGGTCGGTCAGATCGAGTTCGGGTCCGATCACTTCAAATTTGGGTTATTTCAGGTTCGAGTCTATTTGGGTTCAAGTTGAGAAGTGTATGTCCATGACCCAATGTCATCGGATTCGGATCGACCCATGATAGGCGTGTCGTAGCACCTACAAATTAATTTATTATTTTCCTTAACTCTTAACTCCCTTTATGAATTAATATTAATTAAAACATATAGATAGGGCAAGTAAGGGTCGATCCCACGAGGAAAGATACTTTTTAGGCTATGAAAATCAGTTTACTCTGTCACATTTATTGAATAAAAACTGACTAAAATCTAAAACCTAAACTAAAGGATATGGGGGGTTTGAATGATAATTCTAAAAAGAAAAAAATGTAAATAAAATAAAGATAAAGATAACAGTCTAGAGATGGAACCACAGCAACACCTCGAATTCAGAAGACATTCAGGGAGAAACAAACACACAAACAAACACGCATTTAAACTTTATAAAAACGTAGACAGTAATAATTAACTTAAACCATTTTGAAAATACTTATAATTTTTAATAGAAAATAAACTGAACAAATCTGATTAATCCATTAATTATGCCTTGATTCTGAAATTAAACTGCTAATTAAACTCA